CGCCGCGCCGGAAGACGCGCCGCCGCTGCTCCTGCTGGCGGCGCCGCCGCGGCGGACCGGCTTCGACATCGAGGGCTGGCTCGCGCGCATGGACGCGGCGCTGCCCTGGAGCACGAAGGTCGGCGGCATCGCGACGGAGAGCGATCTGTACCTCGGCGGCGACGCGCTCGACGGCGGCGTCGTGGGGCTCGCGCTGCACGGCGCGACGCTCGACGCCGTCGTCGGCCAGGGCGCGACGCCCGTCGGGCCGGCGTTCAAAGTGACGGCGTGCGAGGGGAACGTCGTGCGGGCCCTCGACGGATCGGACGTCGGCGCGGCGCTCGACCCGGTCCTCGCGGACTGGAACCCGATGATGGGCGACCTGAAGATCGGCGTCCGCGTGCCGACGCGGGCCGCCGCGGACGGCGGGCCCGCGCGCGCGGACGCGCCGGACGCCTACGTGGTCCGGCAGCTGCTCGGCATGAACCGGGAGGCGTCGGCGCTAGCGATCGGCGCGGCGCCGGACCTCCTCGCGGCTGAGGACGTCGCGATCCAGCTGCACGCGTTCGGGCCGCAGGCGGCGAAGCGCGAGCTCGAGGACGCGGCGGCGCGGCTCACGGGCGGCGCGGGCGGGCTCATTGTGCCCTGCGTCGGCCGCGGGCCCGCGCTCTACGGCGAGGCCGACGTCGAGAGCCGGGCGCTGGCCGCGGCGCTCGGGCGCGAGCTCGAGCTCGCGGGCTTCTTCGCGAACGGCGAGATCGGGCCCGTGGGCGCGCGGACCTTCGTGCACACGTTCTCGACGGTCGTCGGGCTGCTGCGCTAGGGGCCCCTGACACATTGGAACATCGATAACAAAAGCCGCGCCGTTACGCCGCCTCAGACCGCGCGGTGGCGCTCGGGCGGTCGCCAGAGGCCGACGTCCGGCTTGCGGATCGTCGAGTCCCAGGGCGCGACGTCGGCGGGGACGTGCTCGCCGTCGGAGATGGCGCTGATCATGGCGAGGCTCCGGTTCTCCCAGGGCTTGACCTTGACGCGGTACTTGGTCTGGTTCGTGAGGCTGCTCGGGTTCGTGACGTCGACGCTGTCCACGGGGTGGATGCCGTACTGCGCCGCCGGCGGGCCGGCCTCGCCGGGGTCCGTCGGCCGGTAGCGCGCCTGCGTGCTGTGGAGCATGGGCGGCAGCGCGCCGTAGGAGTAGAGCTCCGGGTCCGCGTACCTAAGGTTCGGGTTTCTTTCGTCTCCTCGGACGAGCCGCGCTCTCTTTTGCTTCGTCTCGGTGAGGATTTTGAGGTCTTCCTTCTCCTCGGACGAGCCGCGCTCTCTTTTGCTTCGTCTCGGTGAGGATTTTGAGGTCTTCCTTCTCCTCGGACGAGCCGCGCTCTCTTTTGCTTCGTCTCGCATCGCTCCCGGAGCCGAGCCACGTCCGAGCTCTCGGACGACGGGCGTCGAAGCACCCGCGCGCCGCGCCGGGAGCGCGCGGCGAGTTGCCAATCTGATTCGCGATGGGTTTGTGGGCGCTCTTGAAGGCCTGCCGGTCCTCGGCGAGCGCCTTGAGCGACCCCCGGGGCGGCTTGACGTGGTAGAAAAAGTGGTGCTGCGCCGGGCGCGGCTTCACCTGCGGGCGCGCCGGGGTCGGCGCCTCGTCGGGGAGGAGGCGGGCTGCGTACAAAGTCCTTGGGCACGACCGGCTTGCGCATCGCCGACTGCAGCGCGTTCGTCCGGATGCGGTCCGGCGTCTTGTGCAGGTTCGTGAAGCTCAGGCCCGTCAGGTCGTTGGGCTTCTCCCCGGGCTCCATGCTCTCCGGATATCGATCAGCGCGCGCGGCTGCTTCACCCAAACTTCACACAATCCTGCGGCCGGAGATGTTTCCCCCCCGGCCGCCTCGTGCTGCGCGATCCTACTCGATCGTCGCGTCGTGCGCCGTCGCTCGATCGTCGCGTCGTGCGCCGCCGCTCGAGCGTCCACCGCTGCGTCGTCGCGCGCCGCTGCGAACGCGTCGACCGCTGCGTCGCCGCTGCTAAAGCGTCAACCGCTGCTCAAGCGTCAACTACTCCACCGCGCCGCACTGCTTCCACGATGCGCGTCGCCCGCTACCCGCTCCTCCTCGCCGCCGCGGCGGCCCTGTCGAACAACGCGAAGCTGTCTAGACTGCGCTGCCAGTGGACGGAGCTCCGCAACGCGGCGCCGAGCGGGCGGTCGGGCGCGGCGTGCGCCTCTGGCCCTTCGGGCGCGTGGCTATTCGGCGGGCTCGACGACCAGCGCGCGGTGCTCGACGAACTGTGGCACTTCGACCCGGCGCCCAAGGGCGGCATGGGCCTGCGGTGGCGCGCCGTCGACGCGGCCGGCGGCGAGCGGCCGGGCCCGCGCTTGTGCGCGGCGGCGGCCGTCGTCGGCGGCGACTTCGTCGTCTTCGGCGGCTGGGACATGGCGGCGAAGAAGACGCTCGACGACTGCTGGGCCCACGACGGCGCGGCCTGGCGCCGCGTCGGGTCGCTGCCGGCGCCCTTCAAGAACCACGTCGCCGTCGGCCTCGGCGACAGGGCCGTCGTCGTCGCCGACGGCGCGACGTATTTGTACGCCGACGGCGTCGTCGAGTCGTTCCCGCAGCCCACGGGCCGGGCCCCGAGCGCGCGGACCATGGCCGCGGCCGCGCGCGTCGGCGACGACGTGCTCGTCTTCGGCGGCGTGTCCGACGGCGTCGAGCTCGGCGACGCCTACGTCCTGGACGTCGCGCGCATGGACTGGCGCGAGGTCCGCACGACGGGCGCGTCGCCGGGCCCGCGCGCGGGCGCGTCGGCGGCGACGGCCGCGGTCGCGCCGACGTTTGCCTTTCGTCTACGGCGGCGCGCGCAAGGTCGGCAAGGTGCTCGAGCCGCTCCGGGACCTCTGGGCGCTCGACGTCGACGCGGGCGAGTGGCGTCTGCTCGTCGACGGTACGGCGGAGGAGGACGCGGCGCCTCAAGCGCGCAACGCGGCGTGCTTCGCGCCGCTCGACGAGTCGACGCTGCTCCTGACGAACGGCTGGCAGCCCCTCGTGCGGACGTTCGGGGACGCGTTCCGGCTGGAGGTGGACCGGGGGGACTAAAGGAGGAGAGGGATATTTTTCTGAGTCGCTTGCAAAGAGATATTTTAATTTTTTAATTCTTCGCGGCCGCTTCGCCGGAGGCCTCGCCGGGATAGTTGTGCAACTGAGCCAGCATCTTCTGGCGTTGCGATTTTTGGCCGGCTGAGGAACTCTCAGCTGCGATTTTTGGCCGGCGATCGTGGGTTCGGAAATTATTATTTGCTGAATATCTTGCGGCCGAGCCGGTGTGGCCTAATGGATAAGGCGTCGCCCTCCTAAGGCGAAGATTGTGGGTTCGAGTCCCATCAGCGGCTCTTTTTTTTTGTCCTAGCAGACGTACGCTTAGCCCCTCTGGGCCCTTTTAGGGGTTTCTGGGGCCAGCGCTGGGCGGCGAGGCACGGGAACGGGCCCCTGCACGACGGTCCGGCCCCGGCCCGGCGGGACGGGGGCCGGGGACGGCGGGCACGGGGGTTCCGGCACGGTAAATGCGCTCCGGGCACGCGGCCCGGCACGGGCCCGGCACGCGGCACGGCACTCGGCACGGGCCCCCGGGCACGGGCCGGGCACGGGCCACGCGGCCCGGCACGGGCCCGGCACTCGGAGGCTACTCGGCACGGGCCCCGGGCACGGGCCGGGCACGGGCCGGGGAGGCCCGGCACGGGCCCGGCACGGGGCCCCGGGCACGGCCCGGGCACGGGCCGGGGACGTGGCCGGGGACCGCGGCACGCACCGTCGCGCAGGGCCCCCTACGGGACGCCGCCGCTGGGGCTTTGCGGCTTCGGAGACCGGTGCCACAGTCGTCCGCGTCGACCACCAGCGGCGTCGTCGCGCGTTCGCCGCCACGCAGCGTCGCGACGTCGTGCTGAATCGCATCGCTGTCGTCCTCAAAGCACGAGTCGGCCGTCCTCAGCGCTGCGTTCGAAACGAAGTGCACACACTCCAACGCAAAGCGGCAGCGTCGCGCCGCTGAACCGTACCATGTCCGCCTGGGGCAGCGTGCCGAAGGCAAAGCCGCAGTCCATCAGCGACATCATCACGCAGCAGGCCGAGGACGCCGGCGACGACGACCTGCAGGCGGCTCTGAGAGCGTCGCTCGCGGACGGACCGCCGGACGACGACGCGTTACGAGAGGCGCTCGAAGCGTCGAAGCTCGACGCGCCGCCGCCGACGACCGACGACGACGCGTCGCTCGCGCTCGCGCTCGCGCTCGCCGACGAGGAGGAGAAGGCTAGCTTCGCGCGCTGGGGCGCGAGCGAGCGACGGAAGCGCGCCGCGGCGGCGCGCCACGAGAAGGTGCGCCTCGGCTACGACGACGACGAGGCCTGCCGCCCGCCGCCGGCCGCCGCCGAGGAGGTCCGGGACGACGTCCTGGGCGACGCGCTCGCCGCGGAGGGCGTCGAGCTCGCGGACGGCGCGGATCGCGTCGCGTCGTCGCGGGGCCTCATCGGGCGGCGCGCCGACGGCAGGGCAGGAAAAGGGTGATTCAACGTCGCTTCAACGCGAGTGTTCCGCGCGCGCGCGCGTTTCGAAGACAGCACCCACGCTTCGAGAGCAATCCGAGAGATGATCGCTCGTCCAAAAATCAGCCGAAACGAGCGGAAAACGACCGAGATCGGAGCCTTTGAATTTGGGAATTTCGCACCCTTTTGCTGCCCAGGCCGACGGCTCGCTCGTGAGCAAGCACGACGGGCGCCTCGACGAGCTGCTCAAGGCGCGGACGCTCGAGGCGGAGATCGACGGCGCGGGGGACCTGCGGTCGTCGCGCGTCCCCGCGCGGTGCTACCACGACCTCGTCGCGTTCCAGCGCAAGGCCGACGCGGGCGGGCGCCGGGGCGGCGACGCCGCGCCCCGGAGGACGCCGCCCAAGGGCCGCCCCGACGGCGTCGCCGCCGCCGCGGACGCGGTCCTCGGCGCGCTCCGGGGCCGCGGCGCGTGCGCCGTCGCGTCGCTGTCCCAGGCGCGCCTCGTCAAGGAGGGCGACGAGCGGAGCTTCTGGGTCTGCGCGGGCGCCGGCGAGACGTCGGGCGCGGGCGACGGCGCGGGCGACGGCGCCGAAGGCGACGGCGCCGACGACGACGACGACGGCGCCGACGACGACGATGACGACGACGACGGCGCCGACGACGACGACGACGGCGCCTCCGCCGCGCCGCCCGGCGCCGACGACGCCTCCTCCGCGGCGCCGCCCTCGGAAGCGAGCGCGGACGCGCCGCTGGCCTCGTTCGCCAGGGGCGTGGGCTTCGACGTCGCCGCGCGGCGGGCGATGCCGCACCGCTTCCTCGCCGTCACGGCGTTCCACGGGCGGTCGCGGCCGGGCGACGACCGGCGCTGGGCGGGCCAGTCGCGGCGGACGCACCTCAACGGCGCCGAGGCCGCGGAGCGCGAGCTCCGGAACCTGCTCCGGGCCCACCGGCGCGCGCGGGGCGTCGCGCCGGCGCCCGTGCTCGCGCGGGGCCCCGTGCTCGTCACGGCGTTCGTCGGCGCCGCGCCGGAGCGGCCGGCGCCGCGCCTCGCGGACGTGAGGCACCTGCCGGCGGCGCGCTGGGAGGCGGCCTACGCGAGCGCGGCGCGCGCGCTCCGCCGGCTCTTCGGCGACGCGCGCCTCGCGCACGGCGCGCTCGGCGGCGGCTACGCGGCCCTGCTCGCGCCGGGCGACGCCGTCGTCTTCGTCGACCTCCAGGGCGCGGTCGCGGACCCCGAGGACGCCGCGGGCGACGCGGCGGCGCTCGCGGCGTTCTTCGCGAGCCGCGGCGTCGCGCGCGCGGACGCCGCCGCGCTCGCGGCCTACGCCGAGGGCCGCGCCGCGTCGCTGTTTTGAGCCGCGTTTTAACTTCTCTCGATTTTTTGGGGGCGCCTGGCTTCTTGTTTTCCCATGCTCACATACTCAGTAAGCCCCGCCAGATGGGACTCCGCGTGTCGCCTGGGCTCCACACAACACACGCATCGGAATCCGAGTCGCAAAAGAGCCCCGGCGGGTTCTGTTTTGAAACAGGCGATTGATACGTGCGCCGACGTTGAGCCAGATGTACCTGCCGGGCACGACTTTGTGGCAGCCCCTCGTTCACGCCCGCCCACTCTTCCACCGACAAGTCGTCTTAGCATGCCGCGGCGCAAGCGGAAGACGGAGGACGGCGGGATGAGCGAGGAGGAGTGGCACCAGCACGCGCGTGGGTCGGCCGGCGTCGGGGACGGCCGCCGCGGCTCCTGCACCCCCACCCCAGGCACGCCCCCCGCGCAGGCATGGTGCGGACCTACGTCGGGCGGCGCGTGGAGAAGCTCTTCTCGAGCGACGACGGCGGCGGCATGACGCTCTTCGGCGGCGAGGTCATCGGGCGCGGCCTCCCGCGTCGGCGGGGGTCCCCCCCCCCCCCTCGCGCCCGAGCCCGAATTCTGCGTAGGTACGACATGGAGGTCGGGTGGTTCAAGGTGCTCTACGACGACGACGACTCGGAGGAGATGGACCTGGCGAGCCTCGCGGAGATTCTCGTGCGCGCCGCGGGGGAGCCGGCGGCGGTCCCGGCGGCGGCGGGCGACGGCGGCCGCGGCGAGGGCAGCGAGACCGAGGAGTCGGAGGCGCCCGCGCCCGCGCCCGCGCAGCGGGGCCGGGGCCGCGGGCGGCGCGGCGGCGGGCGCGGCGGCGGCCGGGGCCGGGGCCGGGGCCGCGGCGGCCGGGGGCCGAGCGTCGCCAAGGCCGCCGCGAAGCCGGCGGCGAAGAAGCGCGCGGCCGCGGCGGACGGCGCGCCCGCGGCGAAGAAGGTCAAGGCCGGCGCGGCGCCGAACCACGGCGAGCCGAAGATGGGCCAGACGGCGCGGTGCCGGGCCACGGGCGTCGTCGGCGTCGTCGTCGCCGTCAAGAGCGGCGGCTGGCGCGAGCTCCGCCGGCCGTCCGGCGACGTCGTCGTCCGCCGGAAGAACGGGTTGGACGTCGTGCCCGGGGGCACGGCCGACGCCGGGGCGCCGCCCGCGTCGGACGGCGACGAGGCCCGCGCGCGCGCGGACGACCCGCCGGCGGACGCGTCGGTCGCGACGGCCGCGTCGCCGTCGGCCGAGGGCGACGAGACGGCCGAGGAGGACGCGGCGCCCGCCCCCGCGCGCAAGCCCCGGGCCGCGCCGGCGACCTCGGGCAACGGCCAGGCCGACGTCGGGTGCATGGCCGCGTGCTCGCGCACGGGCGCGGTGGGGACGATCGTCGTCGCCAAGCACGGCGGCTGGCGCGTCGTCCGCGAGCGCGACGGCGCGGAGATCATGTGCCGCAAGGGCAACCTCACGTTCCTCGACCCCGGGAGCCCCGCCGCGCGCGCGGCCGTCGCCGCCGCCGCCGCGCGGAAGCGGAAGCTCAGATCCGAGGCCGCGGCCGCGGCCGCCGCCGCCGCCGGCGAGCACGCCCCGGACGACGACGGCGACGCGGCAACGATCACCCAGGAGACGCCGGGCCTCGAGGACGCGCACCGCCTCCGCGACGCGTTCCGCGATGACGGCGGCGACGACGACGGCCCGATCGCCGAGGACGCGTCGAAGCTCCGGGGCGCCTTCGACGACGCCTTCGTCTTCGACGACGAGTCGGAGCTGCCGAGCGCGCCGGCGGCGGCGGCGGGCGACGGCGACGAGCGGAGCGCGTCCGCGCGCGCGTTCGACCCGCCGCGGTTTTCCAACGACTCGCCGCGGCCGCCGTCCTGCCTCGACGGCGACAGCCTCCTCGACGCCGGCGACGCCCACTCCCTCGCGTCCGGAAGACTCCGCGACGACTCCTACGGCCTCGCGCCGTCGACCGTCGGCGAGCACGACGCGCTCGACGGCGTCACGCTCCTCCCCGCCGTCGGCGCGGCGCCCGCGCCCCGGGCGGGCGCCTTCAAGTTCGTCCCCATCGCCGACGACGCCTTCCCGACCCTCGACGCCGTCCTCGTCTAGCGCGCGGTGCGCGCCATTTTTTAGAGATCGAGAACTGCAACTCCTTTCATCATTGCCTTTGGGCTGCGGCACTCGGGCAATTTGGGAGGCCTCGAGGCTGCCCGGGCTTTTTTCGGCTGCCCGCGGCGCCGGCGCCGGTCCGCCGACGCACCCCCGGCCTCGTCGCTCGCGGGCGTGCCCGCCGCACCATCCTGGTCGCGCGCCGGGCGCGTGACCACGGCCGGGACGGCGCGCCGCCCGTCGGGCGCCGCGCTGCTCTGGGGCGTCTAGCGGCGCCATGGCTCGGGAGGGGAGCGAGGCGGAGATGAAGGACGTGACCCTCGAGGAGGGCGAGGCGTCGTCGGAGGGCGGGTCGCCGGCGAGCAAGAAGGGGAAGCGCAGCCCGAAAAAAGAGAAGAAGCGGCAGTCGTCGTTCAAGATGCTGTCCGTGGGGCTCAAGCAGGCGTCGAGCTCCATGTCGTCCCTCATGGGCAAGCGCAGCCCGAAGAACAAGAAGGACGGCGGCGACGAGAGCCCGCGGTCGCCCGGCGGTACGTCTTTTTCCCGAACGGTCCGCGCGCGCGAACCCGCGCGCCCGCCCCTTAGGCGCGCCGAAGTCGCCGAAGCCGCCGCGGAGTCCCAAGAGCCCCGTGCGCGAGGTGGACCTGAAGAAGATCCGGGAGTACGTCATGCTCTGCAAGAGCGACCAGCCCGTGCCCCGCAAGGAGGCCGCCGCGCGCGAGCTCTGGACGCTCGCGCTCAACAACGACTACAAGGTCGCGATCGTCTCCGCGGGCGCGATCCCGGCCCTCGTGCTTCTCTGCCGCCAGCCGCCCTCGGGCAAGTGCGCCGAGTACGGCGCGCGCGCGCTCTGGAATCTGGCGATCAACGCGGAGAACAAGGTCGCGATCGCCGAGGCGGGCGCGGTCCGGCCGCTCGTGACGCTGATGACGAACGGCTCCGTGCACTGCCGGGAGGCGGCGGCGGGCGCCATCCGGAACCTGGCGGTGAACGAGAAGAACCAGGAGGAGATCGTCGCCGAGGGCGGCGTGCGGCCGCTCGTGGAGCTGTGCTCCGCGGGCGACGTCGCGGGCGCCGAGGTCGCGGCGCGCGCGCTCTGGAACCTGGCCTACAACTCGAAGAAGAACCAGTCCAAGCTCGTCGAGGCGGGGGCCATCGGCGTCCTCGTGACCATGTCCAAGGACGGCGGCTCCGACGCGTGCCGCGAGGCCGCGGCCGGCGCGCTGCGGAACCTGAGCTACGAGAACGACGACGCGCGCCTCGACATGGTCAAGAACGGCGCCATCCCCGTCCTCGCCGAGATCTGCGTCGAGGGCACGGAGATGTCGAGGATCCACGCGGCCGCGCTCCTCAAGAACCTCAACTCCCAGCCCGACTGCCTCCGAGCCGTCGCCGCGGAGTTCCAGCTCCCGGACGACTCCTCCAAGGCCGCCGTCGACGCCGCCGTCGAGAGCCTCCTCTCGCGCCACGCGACCGACTCCACCGCGTGAGCCGCCGCGAGCCCCGCCGGCCCCGTCTTTGGGCGCGTTCGACGCCCAGGGGCCGGCGCCCCCCGACCCTCCCGTATCCGCGCCGAGCGGACCCTCACCATTAAGCCCCCTCCGAATTCCAAGAGCGGCGGTCGGCGCCCGAAGTCCGCCGAGGCGGCGGCGGCCTACGCCGCGCGCCGACGCCCGGCGCCGGCCGCGCGCGCGCGACCCGCCGCCATTCGATGCGTCCGCCGCCGCGCGCCGCCGCCGGCGGCCGGCTATTGCTTCTTCGCCGCCGACTCGACCTTGCCGACGCGGGCCGCGAGGGCCTTGTTGGCGGCGAGGATCGCCGCGGTGGAGCTCTTCAGCTCCTCGAGGATGAAGTAGTAGGACCCGGCGGAGCCGACGCCGACGCCGACGCCAAAGGCCATGAGCCTCCCGAGCAGCGTCGACACCATCGGCGCTACGTGCGGCTGCGCGCGCGTCGCGATGCAATGCCTGGTCGCGCGCGAGAGCTCGAGCTGCCAAGGTGGTGTTGCCCTGCAACGAAAGCCCGAGTTCAAAGCGGCGCATCGGCAGCCCCCCAGCCGCGCCGCGTGCGCAGAGCAGCTCCCCTGCTGGCCGCGGCTGCGTAGTCCCTCGAAAGACACGCCACGCCATGAGTGAGGCGCAGGTGCGCGAGAAGCTCTGGGCTCGGCAGAAGGTCTGGAAGGCGCAGCAGGAAGCGGCGGCCGCCCCAACCGCCGGCGCCTCCTCGGCGGCCATGACGCCTACCAAGCAGAACACGCCGACGCGGTCTTCCGAGCGGAGCTCCGGCACGCGCAAGAGCGATACGCCGAGCCCGAGCCCGAAGCGGTCGCCGGGCTACACGAACAAGCCGTCCGGCGGATTACCGAAGAAGCTGGGCCTCGGCCGCATCGACGATAAGGGCGCGGGGCTCGGCAAAAAAGGGAAGACGGCGTTCGCGACGGCGTATCGATCCGGCGAGATCACGCAGTGGCTGCGCGTGGACCAGAACGGGTCCGTGCCGAAGCTCGCGTTCGCGACGTCTCCGGGCGACGTGCCGCTGGATCGGTGCCTGCCGCTCTGCTTCACGGGCCTCAGCGAGGTCTGCCACCCGTTCTGTCTCCTCGCGCGGCAAGGCGCGAGGCAGCTCCTCGAGGCGCATCCAAACGCCGAGGACGTGGTGCCGACGCTCCTGCCGTCGCTCGTGCCCTCCTTGCGCGCGGCGCTCGCCGACAAGGAGCCCGACGTCGTCGAGGCGGCCATGGACGTCGTGTCACCGCTCGCGGCCGTCGTCGGGGCTTCTTTGGCGCCATTTCTGGATCGTCTACTGCCACCCATTGCGCGCAAAGCTGCTGGTGGGCCCCTGGCCCGCAAGGCTCTGGACGCGCTCCGCGCCATCGAGGACCACGTCCCCGACTCGGGGGCGAAAATCAAGTCCAAGGTGCCTGCGTACCGATAGGGTGCGCGTGTAAGTCGATCGCGTCGGTTTGCCAAGGGGCCCGAGAGTTAACCCGAGAGCCCGGAGTGAGCCTCGAGCACGGCCGCGGGAGTTGTCGCGGCCCCGGGCTCCGCTTCAACATGTCGGTTGATTTTTATATCTCGGAGACAGAGAGGTCGCCCGACGACCCAGCAAGCTAGGCGGCAAGCGCCTCGTTCACTTGCCCGCGCCGTCTTCGCGAAGACCGCGCGCTCGTTCAAAATCTTAGCGGCGTCGCCACTCGCGCGCCGTCGACGCCCCAGCAAAGCGCCATGACCGACTCCGGGAGCTACGGGCGGGAGATCCTCCGACGGCAATTCCAGGTGCGCGCCAAACTTCGCCGGGTTCCGCGCGACGCGGCGTTCGCAGGCCATGCAGAAGAACCCGCCGGAAGGGATCTCCGTGGGCCTGGGCGACGACGAGGACATGCGCGGCCCCGGCGTGGCGCCGACGGCGCGCGCGCGCGGAACCGGACGCGCGGCGACCCGGCGCGCAGGTACAAGTGGGAGATCTTCCTCATCGGCCCTGACAACACGCTCTAGCGCGCCGCCCGCGCCGCGCACCCGCCCCCGAGACCCGCGCGCCCCGCGATCCTCCCCCCGCGCCGCGCGCGCCCGCGCGCCGCGCGGCCGCGCCGCCCCTTTTCGAGACGGTCGCGCGCGCCCCGCAGCGAGGGCGGCATGTTCAAGGCGGTCATGGAGTTCCCGAAGGACTTCCCGGACATGCCGCCGTCCATGACGTTCACGACGAAGATGTGGCACCCGAACATCTACCCGGACGGCCGCGTCTGCATCAGCATCCTCCACCCTCCGGGCGACGACCCGCAGAACGAGCAGGAGACGGCGGACCTGCGCTGGCGACCAGTGCTCGGCGTCGAGTCCATCCTCGTCAGCGTCATCTCCATGCTCAGCGACCCCAACGACTCGAGCCCCGCGAACATCGACGCCGCCGTCCAGTGGCGCGACGCCAACGCGGACTTCAAAAAGGAGGTCAAGCGCCTCGTCCGCCGGAGTCAGGAGGAGATGTAGGCGGGGGGCGCGGCGCCGGGGCGGC